TGTGGGACATGAAATTGTTTTTGGTAGTTAGCGGGATAATCCTTTGGTTGTAGGATATGTGGATTCAGACTATGCAGGTGACTTGGTTAATAGAAGATCTACGACATTGTATGTCTTTACTCTTGGTGGAGGGCCTATTTGTTGGAAGTCTATTGTTCAATCTGTGGTGGCACTATCTACAACTGAAGCTGAATACATGGCAGCGGCTGAAGCTGCAAAAGAATCTTTATGGCTTACTAGTTTAGTGAAGGAGTTGAGTGTTCAGCAAGGTGGAGTTCAGTTGCTTTGCGACAATCAAAGTACTATTCATTTGGCTAAGAATAAGGTATATCGTGCTAGAACTAAGCATATTGATGTACGTTTTCACAAGATCAGAGAGTTGGTTTCATCTGGAGAGATTTTGTTTCAGAAGGTACATACTGATGAGAATGCCGCTATATGTTCACCAAGTCAGTTACGACAGACAAGTTTAAGCATTGCTTGGACTTGTTGAATGTTTCGAGTTGTTAAAGAAGTAAGGTAACCCAACCCACATTGAATGCTTCCTAAGGGACAAGATATTCGCCAAGGTGGAGATTTGTTAGGTATGACTCATAAATGTACCGGTAAAGAGGACAGAGGATGGAGCGGAGTGAGCGAACATCAAATGTCCTTACAAAGAAAGTCTCGTAGTGGGGGTTATGATTATGTGAGTTAGGGGTGCGTGGGCGCAGCCCCCGCGGCAAGGTACAGGTTATATTTGTAAATATGTACCAGGGTTATATTTGTAACTATGTATCATGGTTTATTTATTATAAATAGAGATGTAACCTAAACCTATGAGACATAGAATAAAACTTCTAGCGCCGCCTAGGCACCGAGGACGTAAGCACATTGCTGAACCTCGTTAAATTCTTGTGTTCTTTCGTTTTACTTTACCCGATTCTTCAACATTTTTCGTTGAAAATTGGTGGCCATTTGAGTTAACCACACTACAAGAAAATATACCTTTAATGACACACGAACAATGACACACGCTAATTTATGACTTGCAAAAAATGTGTCATTAAAAAATGTCATGTTTTTTAAAATCTGAACGATTTATGACTTACAATAATGTGTGTCATATTTAATAGTCATAATCTAAAAAATTTAGCAAAAAAACGGAATACACTTTTAATTGTGTGTCATATGTAAAAGTCGTCTTTTAATTCTCCCCTTAATTTTCATCATTTCCTGCTTCTTCCCCTTGATAATCATTTCAAGCCTAATGTTTTTCACTCCTTTCATTATCTCCTTTTCTCTCCTGCTTTTCGTCCCGATTCTCTTCTTCTTGTTAGTCTCGAGTTTGAATCCCCAGCCTATGCCGCCCATTTCCGCCTCCGATGAACTCGATGATATCCGTCTCTTCCACCGCGCCACCGTCTCTCCCTCTACCTCGTCCCACCTCTCCTCCTCCTCCTCCTCCTCCTCCTCCTCCTCCTCCTCCTCCTCCTCCTCCTCCTCCTCCTCCTCCTCCTCCCCTAAAATCGCTTTCATTTTTCTTGACCAACACCGACCTCCATTTCCTTCCCTTTGGAACCGTTTCTAGGAGACAGAGACTCCTCTTTTTTATTTTTCTTTTTTCCCCCTTCCTTTGGATTCAAAGCTATATTTTTGGGGTATTGGTTTGGTTAAAACCCTAAATTCCCTCTCATAGTTATACGAAGGTAATTTATTAACTCTTAGATTTGTTTTTTTCTTTCAATTTGTTTTTGTATTTTTTAATTTTCTCACATCCATTCTCGTTTTAGTTTTTGACGTTTCTTTGCTTCCTTTCGGTTCTGCTGAGCTTAGTTCATCTGTATGTACGCATAGAAGCTTTAAATTTACAATTTTTTTCTTTATCCTACAATTGATTTTTCTTATTTTTGAATTATTATTCCGTTTTTACTTGATTTTTTCTATAATTCACAGGCATTGTTGATATTTTGCTAGTCAAACGAGCTTTTCATTCTGGATTTTATTTCTGCTTTGTTTAGTGTCTTTCTAGCGAGTGTTTCGTGATGTAAAGTAATCAGATTTTGTTTTTTCTTTCTCAACGGAGCTTGTAAAAGTGGTGGAAAAGCTTAAATCTCTTTTGTTGGGCTTGTGGGTTTTTAGCTCTGGATTATGCTTTAATTAGAAAACGTTATTTTTTCTTTGGAGTGAAGTTTTTAATTTGCTTATCTGCGATTTCTAGTAGTCTAATTTTGGTTTGATTTTGTGTTGCATTGCGAAGAATTGGTAAGCTGAATATTAAGATTTATTAATTTTGACAGGGGGAAAGCAAAGCTTAGCGGGTTTCAACATTTCAATTATGGGTTTAGAAGACAAATATCTTGCTAAAGGTATATATAATCATATTTGCTCTCTGTTTATTTTATAATTTCATGTTTTTATTTCTTTAACCGTTCCTATGTAATCTGTGTTCTTAGAAGAGATTGTTTGTCGAAGATGAGTAATACAATAGTTGTATCAGTCCAGCCTCATTTTGTAATGCTTTTACTATTGTTTGAAGTACCGATATAAATGATTTTAGAACTTGAGAAAAGATACTTTATTCATATGGGATTAGAAGGTTCTATAAAGATTTTACTCGATTATAATTGATGGAGGTTGATGAAATGGTTTGTTTGAAGATGAGTAATAAGGTTCTGTAAAGATACTTTATAATTGATGGATAGTATAATGTTCAGTCATTTGATTATGCTACTTCCAATAATTCCACGAAAGTTCTCTTTTTTATTTGATTTAAGGTTTCATGGTTTACATATGTACTCGGAATTTATTATCACTGGTGTTTACAAGTAATGTGCTTACAACTTTCTCTATGATCACTGATCAAGTTACAAATATAACTCTTTTGATAATTCAAACTTGTTTGAACGGTTGACTGCATTTATATATATCTTTAGATGATTTGATCCAGTCCTCACTGCATTTATATTTCCTTTATAGAGCATATAAATATAAGTGACTCTCTTGAATCCTCACAGTATTGGATAATTTGACTCGGGCTGATTTGCAAACCTCTGTTGCAGCCTGCTCCATGAATTCACTTCAGGAGTGAAATTCCTACAATTTGTTTCTTTTTTCGTTGTAGAGAAGGATCTTGTGTCTATCAGGTATATCTTGGCCATTTATAATTATATTTGGAGTGAATGATTTGTCTCTCTTTTTGTTTAGTTCACCAGTACAGTTAGCTTTTATGCATTTTTCTTTTCTTTCGGTAATGTTTTTGTTTAACAAACATGTGCCTTTTGCTGTCATTTTTAAAATAAATGGGATTATTTTCTTCATCTGTTTTTATTTTTTAAACAAAAAACTTAAGCTTCTTTTTGTTTCAAATATTTTATTTTATGCAAAAACCATAGTAAATTCTTGGATCATCTATATTCCTATTTTTAGTTACATTTGATATGCTTCAGTGACGCGCAGATAGCATGGGTCTTAAATATTTGAATTTGGATTATGCTTCGCATGAATCTCATGTAAAGAATGGAACTTAAATTTTTGATTCACCACTTTTCCTTCTTGTTTAAGTTTTTAGTAGAAATAGGTTGAATTGCATCTAGTCATGGATATATATAATAATGTGCTAATTCTCAGTGAAATTGTAGGAGTAAATAAAACTAGAGCATTCAACAGCCTATATTGATGCTAAATTGTAGGAGTAAATAGGTTGAATTACATTTACGTTATTGTTCCTTCTCTTTCTAGTTATTTTAGTCTTCAAATTATTGGTACTGCCAGCATCTTTTAGAATTTAGATGCAAATTCCTTATACTTGCATAGCTTGTCTAGTTCTGCTTATATTGATGCTAATATGATCTTTTATCTCCTTTTTTCTTATTCAATTTTTTCAGTTTAACTTGCTGAAATTTTACGGTTAAATTTTGCTTTCCGTATAAATATTTTGTCTTTTGAGAACTAATTGGCAGCTTTCAATAGCAAAATTAAATAACGAGTTAAAAGACTCCAATTTTTATCATGAAGTTTTTCAATAATGCGAAAGTCTTTAAAAAGAGCCCAGTTGTGAAGTTACAGATGTTAAGGGGTTGAGAATAGAACCAAAAAGTATATAATCAAATGGTTGCCACAAATCTCAGGCTACTTAATATTGAATAAAGGAACTTATAAATGAGGGTTCGCTGGGAAGAAGAGGAAGTTATGTTTCATGCCTATTGACATGGAACACCAAAGCTCAGCTCCTTTCACTACATTATTTATCCACAATATTAGCACTTTTTTATTTTTTAAGCTGTCTTTGAAAGTTCCATGGCGTGGTATCTTTTTTCTTATCTTAATACCTTGGTTTTTGTTCCTACTAAATCTTTTCAACCTCGCTAATAACTTTCTCATGCTTCTTTTCTCCATGCAGTTTCTGGCTTACAAAGTTTTCTTCAAGTGTGCAAAGTGTCATGGACTTAGCCTAGTTGGTTCGGTTGCTAATCCGTGTGGCACTCGAAAGGGACGCTTCCCAACCAAGTCAGCCTTAATCTCGTAGATCTGATTAAGCATAAACAAACATCGTGTTAGATCTTTATAGCCACATGGTCCTTCGACCAATAATCCGAGCCCGTGGGGCATAGCGGATGCACACCTCAACCCCCGGACTTCTCCGAGAGAAAAATGTTTTATTAATAAAAGAAACATCGGGTTACAGAAGACTCACCCACACCATCGATTAGGCCGTAGGGGCGGCCCTCGATGGTGTTCACAAGACACGTACCTTTACCTGTGGATTAGCCCAAACTCTGCCGGCTGTCCACCCCCTACATATATGCGAAAACAAAATAACAGAAATGCTACCTATAGACGTTGAAATGTTCGAACAGGGGACAGTAAGTCATACCTCCACTCCCTACCTAAAACATTGAAATGCTTGAAAAGAGGACAAGCTTATTCTACCCTGCCACTAGGCCCTATACATGGTTGGCCTTGGCGTACCTACCCGGTTGTGGCCCCATAAAAGGGACGGTCACGACAATCTCCCCCACCTAATTTGTCGACGTCCTCGTCGACTGCTTGGCCTGAAACTCTTCAATCTTTTGCTTGAATGCCCTGAGATCATACTCTCTTTCCCAAGTGTTCTCTTCCTGATCAAAGCCTCCCCACTTGACTAGATACTTCCGTCTTTGCTTTCCACCCACCTTAACAATTCTCCCTACCAGAATCTCGTCAACATGACGCTGTGAGGGTGGTTGTGTGCCGATTGACTCCCTGGCAGACATACTCTGATTATCGATATTGGGATCGGTGTGAAACGGCTTCAAATTGCTCACATGGAAGACAGGGTGAACTCTCATCCAAGTAGGAGGGTCAACTTTGTACGAAGCATTCCCCACCTTTGCTACTATTGAGACTGGACCCTCGTACTTACGCACCAAGCGACGATCCCTCTGGCGCAAAAATCTAAGTTGTTCTGGCATCAACTTGACTAGCACCAAATCTCCAACCTGAAAGTGTAGGTCTCGCCTGTTACGATCTGCGCATTTCTTCATACGCTTCGCTGCTTTCTTTAAGTAAGCCTTGGCAATCTCCATATTCTGCTTCCACTCCCCCATAAAATTTGAGGCACGAGGGCATCTACCTTGAGAGGTCTCATCCATAGTGTGAGGAAGTCTTGGCTGCTGACCTGTCACCAGTTCAAAAGGGCTTTTATTAGTAGATGAACTCTTTTGTGAATTAAAACATAATTGCGCCACATCCAATAATGGAGGCCAGTTCTTCTGATTGGCCTGAATAAAGTGCCTCAGGTACTCCTCCAAGAGTCAATTAAATTGCTCAGTCTGACCATCTGTTTGAGGGTGGTAACTCGACGAAAAGTTGAGTTGTGTCCCCAATAACTAGAACAATCCTTTCCAAAATTTCCCAATAAATCTTCCATCTCCGTCACTGACTATGCTCTGAGGAATGCCCCAATATTTTCACCACATGTTTGAACACCAACTTAGCAGTCTCTTCCGCTGAACAATACTTTGATGCTGGTATAAAAGTGGCGTACTTCGAGAACCTATCCACTACCACCAAAATTGATCCAAGATCTCCTACTCGAGGCAAGCGTGATATAAAATCCAAGGAGATACTCTCCCAAGGTCGAGCGGGCACAGGTAGTGGCTCGAGCAACCCAACAGTCCTCTGTCGATCTACCTTATCTTGTTGACAGATAAGACATCTCTTGGTGTAATCCATCACATCTTGGTGCATTTGAAGCCAATAATACCCTTGTCCCAACAAAGCAACAGTACGCCTCCAACCAGGATGCCCGGCCCATGGGGTATCATGACATTCCTTCAACAGCTTCTGTCGTAGATTTCCAGCTCGAGAAACAAACATTTGTGGCCCCTTTGTCATCAATAAGCCATTTTCTATCCAAAAACATTTCGAAACACCCTTTTTAACCATCTCCATAAGGGCCACCACTTGCGGATCTTGCTTGGAAAAGTTCACAATGAGCTGACGAATTTCATTGGAAACTCTACTAGCGGATATAGGGGCCACACATCGGAGTGCTGCCAAATTTGCCCTGCGACTCAAAGCGTCAGCAACCTGATTCTTTTTCCCCGCCTTATGCTCAAAGTTGAAGTCAAACTCGACCAGAAACTCTTGTCATCTAGCTTGCTTTGCTGTTAGTTTCGGTTGTGTAAGGAATAATAATTGGCCAAACCAAGGAAAGATCTAAGCTCACTAACATTTTGTGGGGTCGGCCACTCCTGGATAGCCTTCACCTTCTCTTTATCCATACGAATGCGCCCTCGTTCAATGATGTGGCCCAAAAATTGGACTTGCGTTTGGGCGAAAACACATTTCTCCTTCTTCACAAACAACCGATTTTCCTGTAATCTCGTCAGCACCAACCGAAGATGCTCCAAGTGCTCTTCTATAGAAGTGCTAAAAATCATTATATCGTCCAAGTAGATGACTACGAATTTATCGAGATAGTCATGGAACACCTGGTTCATCAAAGTGCAGAAAGTAGCGGGAGCATTGGTTAGTCCAAAAGGCATAACAAGAAATTCAAATGCTCCATACCGAGTTACACATGTAGTTTTTGGCTCATCCCCTTCGGCCACTCTCACTTGATGGTATCCTGACCTGAGATCCAACTTCGTGAAATACTTAGCATTACTCAGCTGGTCGAACAAATCGACAATCAACGGAATGGGATATTTATTCCTGACAGTCACTTTGTTTAATGCTCTATAATCAACACATAATCTCAAACTCCCATCATGTTTTCTCTGGAATAACACGGGCGCCCCGAAAGGTGACTTCGAGGGTCGAATAAATCCTGCTTGGAGCAACTCATCCAATTGTTTCCTCAACTCTGCCAACTCCGGAGGACTCATTCGATATGGGCATTTCGCAGGAGGTTTTACTCCCGGGATTAATTCAATCTCATGGTCCACCAACCATCTAGGGGAAACTCTTTCGGTAATTCACCCGGCATTACATCCTCAAAGTCTCTCAGCACTTCTTGAACATTCTTGGGCACCGTGCCAAGATTGTCATCCTCTTTGGAAATTGGAAAGACTAAGAAGGAGGGCTCCCCCTTTTTCACCCCTCTCTTAAATTGGATAGCGGACAATATCTTCTTCCCAGGACGAGGGAGAATCGTAGCTGGTACCATACATGGCTGCTCCCCCATGAACATTAAACAACTTGATGCCGGGACAGGAATCACCTGGGTTGCCATCATAAAATCGATCCCTAATACCACGTCAAAATCATCCATATGGGAAACAGTGAAATCTACACTTCCTTCCCAAGACCCAAGCTTGATACTGACCCTCTTCACACCTCCACATATCATTGAAGCGACAGAGTTAACTGCTTTCATTTTTCCCATCTCCTTGGTGACAATCAACTTACATCTCTCCGCTTCCTCAGGAGAGATAAACGTATCTGTGGCCCCTGTGTCGACTAGAGCTTTAGAAGTTTTCCCATTTATTGAGATGTCCACATACATCAATCCCCTCTCTGGTTCTTTCCTCAAGTTACTCAACTGAGACTGTAATGCAGTTATGAATCGGATGGAGCCCATTCTAGCCGGCTCAGGCTCAGTATCTCCCATCGGAGCGTTCACTCTTTCTCCGTCCTTTGTTGTTGCGACCATGGCATTAAAAGCACTTCGTTGTAGACACTCTGCAACCCGATGGGGTCCATTGCAAAGAAAACACCTTAACGAGGGTCTATTCCCTCCATTGCTCGATCCAGGACCAGTAGGTACTTTATGTCCCTTCCAGGGACTCTTCTATTTGCTCCCCAACTCGATGTCTTCTCCCCTCGAGCCAACTTGTTCCCACTAACCTGTTGGGTGTTAGCTCCACTCATAGAAGGCATCTTGCGCTTTACAGGATGATCGTTATAATCATTAAGGCACTCGGCAGTAGCTATTGCTACTGTCAAATCTTGCACCTTCTGTCTCTGCAACTCGAGTCTAGCCCATGGCTTGAGCCCTTCAAGAAAATGAAACAACTTATCTCTTTCTGACATATCCTTTATATCCAACATCAAGGTTGAGAACTCTCTCACATACTCCCGTATAGTCCCAGTGTGGGATAATTCCCTTAGCTTCTTACGAGCGTTGTAATCTACATTCTCGGGGAGGAAGGAGGTCTTCAACTCCTTCTTTAACGCATCCCAAGTCGTAATGGAGCACACTCCATCTTTGAACTTGGACCGCCACCATAACTTGGCGTCACCACCTAGATACATCGAAGCCATTGCCACCTTATCTTCCTCAGACTCCGTGCGCATAGCTCGAAAATACTGCTCTATGTCAATTAAGAAATTCTCAAGCTCTTTAGTATCCCTCGCTCCATCAAAGCGTTGAGGATCAGGGATCTTGGCTCGTACACCTACTCTTTCAATAGGGTTTGCAGTCAAACTAGTTACCGTTGCCTGAAGCACATTGACTTGAGCCTTCGGCTCATCATACCCAAGTTGTATCACGCCTATGGCATCTCTTGCCTTATTGCCCAAATCAGTCACTGTCTCGAGCAAATCTTCTTGGGTCTCCTCTACTCTCCTCATACGATCACCAGATATCATATGAGCTCTAAGGGCCGCTAGTGCGGCTTCGATCTCTTCTAGCTTCCGTCGATCAACCGAACTAGTCTCTTGCACAACTGGCTCAGTAGCTTCCTGCTCTACACCTCTGTGAGAGCTTGTCGATCCGCCATTTCGTGTGCGAACCATTCTCGGTGCAACCGGCTCAATAACTTCCTGCTCTACACCTCTGTGAGAGCTTGTTGCTCCGCCATTTCGTGTGCGAACCATTCCTTGTAACTCACTGGCACCTCTATGCCTGCAACACAAATAAGCACAATCGTGCCTAAATTAGGAAGGAAAAGAGCACCGCTGTGCTAAATCCATGACACCTCTGTGCTAGAATTAACGATTGAGCACCTCTGTGCTTCAATCGAGAGCTGACACCTCTGTGTAGCCAAAAGTGATTGAGCACCTCTGTGCTTCAATCGAGAACTGACACCTCTGTGCAGTTAAAATAAATGACTGAGCACCTCTATGCTTCAGCCGGGTGCTGACACCTCTGTGTAGCTAAGACGATTCAGCACCTCTGTGCTTCAATCGAGGACTGACACCTCTGTGCAGCCAAATATGACTGAGCACCTCTGTGCTTCAATCTAAATTCTGGAACCTCTGTGCATTGGAATGATTGAGCACCTCTGTGCTACAATCTAAAATCAAGCACCTCCGTGCTTTTATAAATGACCGAGCACCTCCGTGCTGCGACCTGAGGCGAAGCACCTCTGTGCTAGGTTTAGCACTTGTGCACAGCTGTGCCACAAGCAGGTAACAACCACTATCATGCTTTGTAACACCCCCAACCCATACCCGACCCGGATATGAGTCAGAGATACTACATTGACTTTAAAACACAACTCTTAATAAATAATAGTAAAATATTTGATCTTATATTAAGAAAATACCATAATATACATACTGTAATATAAGTTTACCAAAATATTCAGAGCATACACAACTTAACCCTTTAATTACATGCCAACTGCCATTTACATAACAAAATGACCTACTGATTAAGTTGCTTCTGATCTGATGGTTGCAGGAGTAATACTGTCAAGCTGCTTCACCTGTCTCGTCTATTTCCTCGGATCCTACGTGTGAAACACTCACACGCTAAGTCATCGACTTAGTGAGGCAATAATAATAAGGCAATTGTAATGAAAATGTCATGATCATATGAGATGAAATGCAAACATGTACTTAATCAATGTAGTATACATCATCAATACCCATACCTGTAAGCGTATGACTGTAACATTTATAAATCTGTATTAATAAGTTTATTGGCCCATGATAGCATATTGAGAACCTAAGGTATTTGAGTAATGTGAGGTTGTGCACTATGCTGTCACCACAGCTCGTATAAATGCACCGAAGTGCCCCGTAGAATTGCACCGAAGTGCCCGTAGAATTGCACCGTAGTGCCATATAATGATGTCCATAAGGACCACATAGAATTCCTTAAGAATCATATACATATACTATGGATCAAGTATGTGTCTTTCAAGACTTCACACAGGTTCCAAAGGATATACATATGTCCTAAAGAACCGAGTATACCCTCTACCCTTGGCATGCCAACTATACCTATAGTTCTCATCTACATAACATGGGCTTATACATTTCCCGTAGTTCATATCACGTAGTCATATTATTTCCATACCTTTATCACATAGCTCATATAACTTTTTCTGCATATTCATGTCATGCAATACATATCATATGAATTCATGTCATGTAATACATTTAATATAAATTCATGTCATGTATCATAATATGGAATGTGATCATATGTCAAAATATGGAATCTAGACTTATCACAAGTCTAGAACTGAATATAATACTATATTCATGCTATGCATATGCACTCACCTATACTTCTTTGTTTTTTCCTCGATCGATCCTACTTGTAGATTGTTCCCGAACTCGAGTAGGCTCGGTATCTACATAAACATAATTTTTAAGATGATCATCAGATGTCTATGTCTTGAAATTAAGCTTTAATAGCTTACTAATTTAAGAAATTTATAGATTAGTCTATCTTTCTTTTCTTTCTTCTTTTTTTCTCATGGGGGAATCGGTTCCCCCCCTGGGGGTATCGATTCCCCTCAAGCAATCTGGAATTTCATATACGATGAGGGGGTATCGGTTCCCCCCTGGGGGTATCGATTCCCCTCTTGCATTCTGGAAATTCATTTCGTTGAGGGGGTATCGGTTCCCTTGAATGGGTACCGATTCCCCTAACCCAGAAATTCTATTTTGAGCCCGGAAATCATCTCATTTCAACTCAAACATGCATATTTCAATCCCTTAATACTCTTAGCTCTCATACACTTACTTAAACTAATTATTATCCATTAAATACCTCTAAAACCTAGAAATCTAATTCTCCATGTAGAATTTAAGAATCCAACCCAAATTCCAATATGTTCTAATTTGAATTCTAACACCTCATACTTCTTAGTTAGCTTCTTGACAAGTCAAAAATCTTATTCAAACTTCAAAAACTCATTCCTATCAAAATTTCATCTAAAAATTCATTTTCCAAATCTATCTCTAAAACACTTATCTTGTTGTTTTAATGTCATATAAGCTTTCCTTTAGCTTATATAACATCCAAACTTTCATTTCCAATCTTAAAAATCAAAGAAACTACCAAGGTTCAGATTCTTACCTTTACTTGCAAGCTTCACGTTGAGAGAAGGAAGAGAAGAAAATAAGGAAGAAGGAAGAAGAAATGGGAGGGTTCTGGAACCTAATGTCACACGTGGGTCTCATATAACCCCATAACATTTTATTTTAATTAAAAAAATTCCTTACAAATGACCATTTGGTCCTTACCTCCTTCTCATTTTTACTAACCATACATTTTAAACTATATAATTATTCTACTTTAATCACCAAATGTTGAAACTTTGCAAATTAATCACTCACCCGACATGGAGGATGTTACATGCTTTACTCAACAAAATGAGCACCTCCGTGCTTTTAGTAAATGAACACGCACCTCTGTGCTCTGATACCAAGTGTCACAGACTTAGCCTAGTTGGTTCGGTTGCTAATCCGTGTGGCACTCGAAAGGGATGCTTCCCAACCAAGTCAGCCTTAATCTCGTAGATATGATCAAGCATAAACAAACATCGCGTTAGATCTTTATAGCCATATGGTCCTTCAACCAATAATCTGAGCCCGTGGGGCTAGCGGATGCACACCTCAACCCCCGGACTTCTCCGAGAGAAAAATGTTTTATTAATAAAAGAAACATCGGGTTACAGAAGACTCACCCACACCATCGATTAGGCCGTAGGGGCCGGCCCTCGATGGTGTTCACAAGACACGTACCTTTACCTGTGGATCAGCCTAAACTCTACCGGTTGTCCACCCCCTACATATATGCAAAAACAAAATAACAGAAATGCTACCTATAGACGTTGAAATGCTTAAACACGGGACAGTAAGTCATACCCCCACTCCCTACCTAAAACATTGAAATGCTTGAAAAGAGGACAAGCTTATTCTACCCTGCCACTAGGCCCTATACATGGTTGGCCTTGGCGTACCTACTCGGTTGTGGCCCCATAAAAGGGTCGGTCACGACACAAAGCACCCCAGAGAAAAATGGCCATTCAGATGACGCTTCGATAAGTCCAAAAGTTTTTTATGTTTAAGATCAACAAGATGTGAATTTGTCTGTTGTCGGCTTCAATTGGTGCGTAAGTAACATAAATTATCGAAACATTATAGTATATTATTTGATATATTTCATCAATTTTTATAGGGCAGTGAAATTTTACACTGCTCAAAGTGGATCTAACAAAAGGGTTATCCTCAATTGGATCAATGTTTTGGTGAGGACTTTGATCGATCATTCATTGTTTAAATTACAGCTTTCATTTTGACTAATCGTTTATTGTAAACTATTTGTAGTGTCCCCGTCAATCGGGAGGTACCGAGTGTGGATATTATGTTTGTAAGTTCATGAAAGAGATAGTCGATGACGAACTTGAAGTGTTGGTCAATAAGAATGTAAGCAAACGTTTCTGATACACATCTGTCATATCATACATACACATAATTAGTCATACAACTATCATATGGACTTGAAGTAGGATGCTATTCTAAATAAATTAATGCAAGTACTTGTTAGCAAGACTGAAAACTGTGAATTCGTGCCGTGATAATGTACATAATTTATATGGAAAGTTTTACTAATTAAATGTGTAAAATTTATTTTTACACATGCTTCAAAGAATGCATACGTAAAATTGGTCATTTTAGTACTCTTTGATAGTTATATACTTCACTTTAAATAAGTATAAAATTATATACTTATTTCATATTTTTTACTTAGGTTGGCGATGGGAAGGAAAAATACACAGATGATGACATTGATGATATTCACAAATAATGAGTATTTTATATGGAAAACTTTATTATGCTGTGATATTTTGTATCGACATATGGTTACAATATTTTTGATAACTTAATGTGAATATATTGTAAGCAAATAGATTGCTTATATATAATATGATATATATATTTAGTATTATGAGACATTAAATGTGATTTAGTTTGATTATTTGTCAATCTACAATATATATATATATATATATAATTTACGAAATACAATCACGACACATGAATGTGTGTCATCTTTTTTAATGACGTGTGCTTCAATGACACGCAATGTAAGTCATACATGTGTTATGACGAGGGCTTCAATGACGTGCATTGAGCGTCATAAATGAGCGTCATAAATGTGTGTCATAAATGCGTGTCATAAATACGCGTCATAGATTTATGACACACAATTACGTGTCATCTGAGATCTATGTCGGTGGCTTCAATGACGCGCATTTGTGTGTCATTTGCACCCATAGATGACGTGCAATGAACGTCATTAAAGGGATTTTTTCTAGTAGTACCATTAACATGTCCACTAAGATATAATAAAATTTGTTCACATAACTGTTTGAGTTGTATTTTGTAGATTGAGTCTTTGTTTATATTATGTCGTCAAACCAGTGCTTTAAACATTATGTCGTCAAGTAAGTGCTTTAAACATTACGTCATCAAGCCAATGGTTGAAAGCAACGACGATACCAATACATATTATTAAATTATGAGTTTATCATATCTCAATAAGCAAGTTAACGTTTATATTAGACGACCATCATTTTTTAACAAAAAATGTCAAGTTTGGAACATATGAATAGCCGAGTGACCCATTTTATAATACATTACAATCGGAAGATCACTTTATAACTTTTAATAATTAAAGGATTTAACAAAATAACGTCTCATAGTCAAAAGATCATTTGTATAGTTTACCTTATAATTTGGGGTTTTAGAAGCAGAAGGTCCATAATATTCTGCCGATGGGGGTTCGGCAGGTCCCTTAGCCACCCTGTAAACCGTGTGGACCAAAATCACACTCGTAACTCAAGTACTTCCTTTCCATATAAGTGTGATGAAGAGTTCTCGCATATGCAGTACTATGAACTATTTTAAACATTTTTTTCAATAATTTTAAGAGTAAATTATCTATTTGGTTATTTATTTATTTATTTTTATTTTAAATATTTAATTATTATTGTATAGATCATGTCTAATGTTAGGTTTTATTTTGTTTTGATAATTTATCGTTAAGTTTAATAGTTGATTTAATAAAAATAATGATGTTACATTGTATAGTAATAATTTTAGTCTCCAAAATTTATACGTTTTGATAATAATTCAAATTTAAAAAATCAATAAATTATGTATTAAAATTTTAGTATCGAAGACCTTTCAACAAAGCTCGCTTCAACTTGGCCTCAGGGTTCTTGCTACACTTTTTTAGATTAAATATGCATATTGGCACTGAAGCTTTTTTATTTATTCCATTAAATATTTTGATTTATGGGCTGTTTGTTTACTTCAGAATGATTTAGCGTTGAATGATTCAAATATTGAATGATTCAGAGGCTCTGAATGGTTTGGCTCTGAATGTGACATGCTATTTGATAATTGGCTCTGAATGATTCAGAATGTACTTCTGTGCTGAATCATTTAGCATTACTTTGTTGAATCAGTCAGCACTGAATCATTCAGAGGTACGAAACAAACGCGCTGAATGCTGAATGGTTCAACATTCAGCGCTGAATGGTTCCATTAAGAGACAAACAAACAACCCCTTAGTCTTAATATTCAATTTGCCACCTCAGTTTTCTATTGGTCCAATTAGATACTTGAACTTGACTTTTTTCTTTTCAAACTGATAATTGAATTTAACTTTATGATTCAAATAAATCATTTACCGTTAATACCAATTTGGACAAAAAATCAACTTCGAATACCATTTTAGAGCAAAATAACTTTGGATACTAAATTGAACTTTAAACTCAAGTTCAAGTACTTAACTGAATAAAAGAAGAGTTACATAAGATAAATATAGGTACCAAAATGTATATTTACCCTTTGATTACACTTGTTAAACATACTCTTCAAACTCAAGCTAACCCATCGTCTTCTTTTCAAATGATTCTATAATCGATTGAAGATACAAATTATGTAAGTAAAAAAGAAAAACGAAGATGACAATGAAATAATCAATCAATGTCAAGACTTTAAAACCAATTTTCTGGCAACTTGAATGATGAACCTGTACATTACAACAAGCTAGTTGTATTGACACACCACCCTTCAAATTGTGTGGAGCTGGAAAAAAACAAGTCTCAACCCTCAAATTCTAAAGAAATTAAAGCTATATGCCCACAAGAAGTTCTTAGATCCTGTGATGACCAAGTTTGACTGTCCTTTTGCTGAAGCCTTGACAAAAAAGACAGCAGCAAGATACCAGTTGAGACCAGTTAAGTGTAGAGGGTTCATTCAATTGGGCTGCAAGTAGTGCATTTTGAGAGATTGGGGGACTATGAGTCCTGAGCCATACCTTGTTTCCTTAGAGATGTTGTAAAGGATAAAGGAAGTGAGGCTGACCATATTACACCCAAGGATATTATCACTTTGCTTTGCTTTGATTGCTCCTACTCCTTTATCCTTTTCTTCCTACTGGATAACATCATAAGATTGCTTCATGATTCTTGTGGGGACTTTAGCCAGATTGGCTAACTGCCATTTAACACCCCATCATCCCACATGTATTTCTTCCCCTACTCAACCCCATTTCCTTTTCCACTTTCTTTTATTTATATTTAGAAACTAAAGGTTTCCTTTCTTGGTATCTTGCCTAAATAAAACTCATACTCAAAAACTAGCTCTTGCCCACAAGCTCGGATGGAGTTGGCTGTTGAGCTTGAAGATGATCAGTTTTTTGCAGACTTAAGCAGACAAATCTCTCTTCTAATCATGGACGATGATGATGAATACCAAGTTTCAAGATGTCCTTCGGTTTCTTTCCAGGTTTTTAAACCGTTCGTTCACATCAAATAACATGTTATCTCCTTCAATTTCTGGTGTTTGAGTTTGTATTTGCCCAAAAAATTGCAGACATTCTCCTGGGAAAATTATCCAATAACACAATCTCCATATGTCCATGGGCAAATCTGCAAAAGAGAAAGCAAAGGCACTGGAGTTTTCATCCCAAAGGCATCACATCCCATAAGGAAGAACAGGCAAGACAGATACAGTTCATTCAACAGAAAGACTAGCAGGCAACATGATAACACTACAAAAATGACTTCTCAAGCATGTTACAGTCGCTCCTTTTACCCAGGCAAAGGATAAGGACAAACATCATCTTCATCTTCATCAAGTGTAACTTCATAAAGGGAAGTCATTACTAATCCCCTTGTCAACAAGGATCTTAAAATTAAATATACATATATAAATATATGTATATATAGATTTATCATGAATTATGTGTATGTACATTAAGAATACTTATTCTGCTAGCTTCTAGTTAGTGAGTATTGAAGAGGTTTTACCAAAGGGTCTGCCTCCATAAATCATGGAAATACGTGGTGATCGTTATGTGTGATATAGGAGTAAAATTTGTACTTGTTCACAATGTAATTGATTTTATTTATATTTATAATTGATGTTAGAGAATTTTTTCTTCTTTTCCCTTTTAATTGCCTGTTCGTTCATCCATGAAACCATCCAAGCAACTTAATTAGACCATAGAACCGCAGAAGGAAGTTCAATAAAACGACTTTAATAAAATTATGGTGTTATTCATTATGGGACCGTCTAAAACCTTATCCCAAAGTTGTGAAATTGATTTTTTTAGTACAATTGGCATCACTGTCACACATTAATCATAAACAGATAAATTTTACTATTCGAATGTGTTGGATTATATACAAGACAAATTTTATGATTAGATGGCTAACAATCATGTGGTCATTGGCCCTGAGAATCGAAGGGTCCCTCGTGTCAGTAGACCATGAAAAATTAAAGATCATGAGAGTATTTTGTCTGGTTTTTGTTTAAATTAAAAAAAAAGAGGTGATTTGTTAATGTCTTGGAATCTAGTAAAAACCCTTGACAACTTGTACAAGATCTATAAACAGATAAAAAGAGTCCACCCAAACATTCTAAATGAATTATTGAAGGCAAATAATGGAACTTCAAGTGTGGGTTCCCACACGTTAGTTCCCCGTATACATCGCCAACACCACCCAACTGGGAATTATAAATGTAAAGAGCCTTTGCTTGAAAAATGAAAAGACCAGCGGGCTCAGTTTGAAAATGGTCGGCAATGGACCCATTTCAACTGTCTCTAGGCTGGAATTCCGAGATTTCCAGTTTTGAAAACTCTTTCAAGCTAACATTTGATATGTTGGAAAAATAGGACCGCTACATAATACTAGTTAGATGATGTTCTAATGTTTTATGATCTAGACTTCATTTGAAATATTTTAGAAGAGTAGGCTAGTTGAATGTACGTTCCTGATGTACGTGTGACTTAAGTCTAACCTGATGTACTTAATAATATGAGTTAATGGATATATGTTCATGATACATGTGTGACCCAAGCCTTATCTAAAGCACCAATATTAATAGACTACAGGGATGTGAGTTTTTGAAACTTTGTGATGACCGAACTACGTCATAATATTTATTTGTGTGATTTAGATTGTCTTGCATTTATGATATTACTTCTCTGAATATACTTACCGATATATTTATGTTATGAATGTATGTAGCATAGTAAAATTATTTGTGTGACACTAAGCTTGTTAACTTAATGTTCAAAATATGTTTATATTTGCAAATTCTTAGATAGAGATTCATAGAGCATATCGTCGAGTCAGAGTTCCAGTCGCTCATTGTTCAGAGATCTTGATTTATTATAGTGAGAATTTATATTCATTAACCTTGTGTCATATTTTAGTCATAATTTTATTTTTTTCAAACTTATTATCATTATCAGGTTGTATTATTTGAAGTTTCATATTTTATAAACTAAATTTATATTTTTTTATCTTGATATTATATTATGATTATGCATGTGTGATATGGGTAGAATTTAAAAAACTTAGTTAGTTATTTTGCTTACACCTAAATCTCTCGGTTTTAAACCGGGTCATATTATGATGTTACAATTTACATGTGTATATATTATCAAAGTGTCAACCCTGCATGAACCTTGAGAATTGATTGTAGGGTTTAAAGGAGCTCATTCTCAACCACAACCAAGAAGAGTGGAAATTTGGACCAAACCAGAATTAAATGGAATTAAAATAAATGGGATGAGGCTTACTTACCATATCTCCTTCACTACATCACATTACATAATTAAAATATACATTGTATTCGAATCCACTTCATATTTGGTTATCATAACCTAACAATATCTTATAATTCCAATACATTTCCATCACATAATTTTGTTAGCCATTGCTAACTCTTTCCATCTATAATGCAAATCCCTTATCATATCCACACTCATGCTTATACACAATACTATTTACAATTCTAATATTCCTTTTCACATATCACCTCTTCAATAAATCTTTCATGCTATCATAATCTTCACTTCATTACTTTAATTCTTTCATTACCTTTTTCCCTTATGCTTTTATATTCCTTTCATATCATTTATACTTTTCCTTCTTTATCCTTTTTAACTTTTCTATAAATCCTTAGTTCCCGTCAAACATACAAATCCTTTAACGTTAATACATTCACAATCACACTACTTTATTATTCAACTTATTTCTTTCAATCCAAATGTAAACCTTCATCAAACTATCCAAATATATATATATATATATATATATATATATATTCTTTCCAGTCAAAATCATTCATTCGCTATTTCCTTCCCTTATCAAACCTTCATTCTCACTCGTCCACAATACAATTCCTTTGGTTCGGATTCAACCATTCCATTTACCTTTGTCTTATAACTGATCACTGATATACATATTCTTAAACTCTTCATTGGTATTTTAATATTCTCCAATTAACATCCATCTCTTCCACTTTATCTTGTCCATGCTGTAAAGAAACTATTCCATTTCAGAACGATAAAATCCCTTTAATACTATAATTTCAATCCGTCTAAACTGATTGGCTTTATTCTCTAGCGGAGAATACAATTAATTCATATATGGTTTAAAGTTGAAAACCAGAATATCTATCTTTCTTTGATGGTGCTTAACTTTATGAAGCACTAATTCTCTTAATCAGCTATCATTTTTTTTCTCCAGTCCTTTCATTTTGAGTTCTTACTAGAGCTTTAACGCGATTAACCATTTCTTGAAATGAGAAAAAATTCAAAACCATTAACACTCTTTTAATTTAAGGCGCAAGCCTTAAATAATCAATCACATGTATCCCTCTTATCATTCTTAATCAGAATCAATCCATCAATAATTCTGCTTAACTTATTAAACTTATACTCATACACATGCATGTGTAATTCCCTTACTTCAAGCTCATATATTCGAGCTTCATTTGTCTTATACACAGGTCATCCATGTACTTATTCTTGAATTCTTCTACAAATAATACCCACATCACTGAGTCTTTTAACTTTCTCATGGTGACATTTGTCCACCATACTTCTAGCTTGCCCATGTAGTAACGAAACTACTCAATTTAACTTCTCCAATTTGGAGAAATGAAAACTTTCTAACATTATCTTTATATCATTTAATCAAATTTCCATAACAATGAAACATTTCTCAAATTCAACCTTGAACTCGGGTGTTCTCAACTCTTTTCAATACATTCATTCTATGAATTATAGAGGTATAAAATTAAAAACACATCATAATAGTATTTAACATCATGAAACATTCTCTAATCTTGTACAGGCACGCCCTGAGGTTTTTCGCTCTTCTCCCTGCCTGGCCAGGGCAAGAGCATGCTATTACATTCATTCTATTGCCTTGTGCTTCACTTTAGAAGCTCTCATTGTCATACATATAATATAACATAGCATTTTAATTCTATTAGCAAGACAGCAAACTCCTTACACTATCAGATCAATTTTTTTTTACTTTATGTTGGCATGTATACTTTTTAAAACACTTTTGACTTCGTTTTTAGCCTAGAATCGGCTAAATCGTAGCTCTGATACCATTAAATGTAACACCCCAACCCGTATCTGACCCGAATACGAGTCCGATATGTCAAATTGACTTTTCAAAACCTTTTTCTTACAAAATATCAAAACATTTGAACTCATTTTAAGAAATACCATAATATTATATTAAATTGTGTTTCGTATAAAGTTTCCAATCAAAAACGTATTTATGAACAGTAAAATACGTATGAACAATGATGAACAGTACCTGCTACAGTACCCAAATGTTAAAATTTTCCAGATTCAAAAAGAGGAACCGATTCCCCTGCTATAGGGAAGTGATACCCTGCTACAGTACTGCTACAGTACTTCCGTAAAATACATATAAATTTATAAAAAAATCTGAGGTTTCATTCGTATAAAATTTCCATTTACATATACACATTCAAAACATTATAAAATTCAATCATATGATTTTACAAAACCGATTAAAACATATCATATTCAAATCTTTTATATTACATGCCAACTAATTTTTTTTAACAAAATACATGTAATTCGATTTACATTTATGATATGATCTTAGATAAGGAGAACTGACCTGTCTTGTTCCTCGTTACTTCTCTTTTCGCTTTCCAAACCTACGTGTGAAACAATCACACGCTAAGTCGATGACTTGGTGAGGCATATAAAAACATGTAATAAAACCCATAAAACATTTCATATATCAAAATGCATACATGCACATATTCCATCATATTTCTATTCATATATCAAATCCACACGTGTACACATATAATTATCTTATTCCTTGTCATTATCCTATTATTATCATTAATATATTTTTATCATATTATCATATACTTATCATTTATACCCATCGTATATCATTTCATAAAGAAATATACTTAACCTCATATAGTTCATGTAATACAATTCATATAACTAAAAACATATATCCTTTCATATAACCAATACATGAATCCTGTAATTTCTTTCATATAACAATTCACATATACATATCACATTCAATATATTTATTTAATTTCTTTATTAGCCCATGTACACTGTTGAGAACTCAAGGTATGTGAGTACATTGAGGTTGTGCACTAATGCTGTCACCACAACAGTGTACGTCTTGATTCATCTTTGAGAGAGCATGTATTATTTATAGATCCCTATTTTGTACTCGAGTCGTAACTTTTTTTAAACTCATGGATGTATCATTTTGAAGTATTATTTTGGGGAGCTTCCGATGTAAACCTTATTTAAGGATATTGGTTTACTTTATTTAAATGGTTTTAAATGTATGATTATGATGACTTTTAAGAAACGTTTTTGGGTTAGTCGCTCCGGTGGCCCTGTGTGACATTCTATTCGATCGATTTTATGTCGTATCAGATTAGGGTGTTACATTATGTCTCTAAACGATTAGTGGGATGAAGGCAGCGAACATATGAGGATCAATCTTAAGTGTTCTTGGTCATACTTCACTTCTAAAGTCTCTAGATCAGAGACATTTTCTTTGAATGTGGTTATGTGCTCTTCAAGAGACGAACCTTTTGTCAAC